GATTTTGGATACTCCTGGTGGAACAGGCAAAACCTTTCTATTAAATTTACTGTTGGCCAAAGTGAGAAGCAATCATGATATCACCTTAGCGGTCGCATTGTCCGAAATTGCTGCCACTCTGCTGGAAGGAGGTAAAAAAGCACACCGCGTTTTAACTTTCTCTCGATTTGATACAAAAGGAAACCTCACTCTGCAATATATCCAAAAAAGTAATCTCGTATAAGAACTCCACAAAACGAAATTAATTGTTTGGGATGAGAGTACTATAGCTCACAAAAGGGGTTTCGAAGTCCTAAATAGATCTTAACAAGATATTAGGAATAGTAATGGTCAAATAAGAGGAGTCCATCTTAGGGGAGATGTTACTGCCGAATAATGCTCAGACCTGTTGCTTAAAATAGGAAATGGTGATTTCACGAAATTGGATAAATATAATTCTCCCTACAGAGTTAACTACAATTGTTTCCAGAGCTTATAGCTAAAATTTACCCAAACATTAATAATATTCACGATAAACCTGCAGAATGATTATGCGAGCGTGCCATTCTAACACCAAAAAACGAACAAGCCTCAGTCATAAATGAAATACTTTTGAAATCGTTCGAAGTGGTCGAATATCAACAAATCTGTCGTCTAGTGATAAACACCGATGATGCCATTCATTATCCGGTCGAGTTTCTGAATACACTGAAGCCTTCCGGTCTCCCAACTCACATACTAAAATTGGTTTGTAATTAATTAAATTGCTGCGCAAAATAAATCCACCAAAATTATGCAATGGCCCCAGACTGCAAGTGAAAACATCGCATCGCAATGAAATCGAGGCAACTATACTGACAGGTTGTTATCGAGGAGAGTCTGTATTTATTCCTAGGATTCCGATTCAAATTCAAGTTGTAAAAAGATGTAAAAAATCCACCGTGTCACTTTCACCAGATCAACGGCTGAGTTTCGTGTTCATAAAATTTAGCAAAATTTTATTTTATTTTTATGTTTATTTAACCTTTAAATACCTAAACTATAATAAAGATTGGTTTATTTTATAAGTATTCAAACATTTTAACATAATAATTTATATGTTATAACAAAATTTTAAACGTAAAAAACCAATTATAAATCCCATTAGAACCATTTTCTTCTACGCGGACGAAGTCGCGGGCAATAGCTATTAAAAAATAAAAACTAATTTAGCAAACAAAAATAATAAAAAAACATATGAAAAGGGATGCGCAAATGAACAGGTCTATTTGAAAGAACAGTATAATAATCTTTTCTAGCAATTATTTGCCATTTTTTTTAAAGAATGAAGTATATCCTCCATATGAAGCAATCTGTTGGGGGGGCTTATGTTCAGCAGTGGACTTTGCTAGGCTGTAACGGTAACGGAATAAGGATATAGGAGTAATTTAATAGTTTTTCAAATTATATGTAGTAGTAATCGTTGTTCTTTTGTGATTGGATTCCTTCTATCTGGGCTGTTACTAAGAATTACTTGATGGAAAAATCCGATAACTTATTTTGGCCCAACCCGGGACTCGAATCCGGTACTCACAATCAGACAAACAAGGTTTACGACTAGCATACAAACGAGGAAATCAATAGGCAAAAGTTATATCTAAGCTAACTGGCTTTCACCATGTCGTAAGACACGACATCCTAATAAATACTAAAAAAACTGATGCCGATACATCTGCCCAGCGTGGTAACTATCTTGATCAGTAACACAGGCTTCCACCCGGTACAGACACCAGACTCTCTTCCCATAGTCTTAAGAACATAGTTTTTACAATATTTTTGTTAACCTAAATTGTGAGCGTAAACATATTATTATTATTATGGGGTATTAATAGTGTATTCTCATCTGGTTGGGCTGAATAAATATATAAAAGGAAATGATAAATATACGCAAATATATATTTCACATAATAAGATAAATAAATAAATAATACATAAATAAATAAAAGCGCAACCAGATGGATGCCCTCGGCACGGGAGACCAAACGGCCGGGAGTTAGGGGGAAAGGGAGAGAAACCGGCGGACGATGCGGGCGGTATCGAGGAGCACCGCTTTCTGCATTTGATCCTGGAGCGGTCCGTTACGGAGTCCAAGCCGCCTCAGTTGACCCGAGCTGATCGGGATTAGCCCGTTTGAAGAAATGACTACAGGAATAATACCCCATATCCTAATAAAACCCCACATGTCGGTCACCTCATGAGCCAGGTCCAGATATTTTGTTTGCTTATCTGTTTCGGCTTTCACAAGGTTCTCGTCATACGGAATGGTAATGTCGACCAAAAATATCCTTGACTGTGCCCGGTCCAGTCTGTGATGACGGCCCGGTCCTAGTAGAGCCTGGCACGATCATTTTTGAGCATGGCTTCCGGCAAGTACTTGTAATACGGCAATTTCCGGTCCACGAGACCGTATTTTGGAGCGAACTCCTGGTGAAGAATTCTGGCTACAAGGTTGTACCTGTAGTTGCAAGTACTCAGAGTTAGAAAGCGCTGAACAACCGGAGATGACATGCCTACGTGACTCACCGGGATGACAAGCTCGACAGATATCGACGGTGCCATCTTTTAGGATGTAACTCCGATAGTTGTTGGTCTAAATAACCTGATCCTGTATTGCACAGACAAATCCCTCGGATCACCAAATGAGATCAGATGATGAGATGAGATCACCAAAGCGTAGCCAGTGGATGGAGGCTACTGTGTCAACAAAAGGCTCATGTAGAGCCTTGTAGAACCTCCCGTGGAAGCTCTTTCTCCTTCCATATGATCTCCTGGTCGGAAATGCTCTCCACTGGCGGGTCTTGCCATTGCTCGTTGGCTAAGAATAGAGAGGCAAGTCCTTTATCGCAAGAAATGACGTCCTTATAGATTGGATCATCCGATCTTGTCAGGAAGTAATTACGGAGGCTGCACACTTCGTGATTATGCATGGTGAGCGCGCTCAAAAAGCCACGCCCACCATGTTTTCGTGGCTAGTACAGCCCCATCACCGACAATCTTGGATGATGCATCCTATGGGATGTACCATCCAAGTATCATCCCATAGTAGTGCGGAATTTTCTATCCAGCGCGTTAAGTTCAGTCTGAGTTCACATGAGCATGTCAAAGGTATACATGAGGACAGGCATGACACAACCGTTATATGCGTGTGCCTTATTCACACCAGAAAAAAGGCTGTTAAGCACTTTGGTCAAGCGTGCATAAAACATGTATCGCAAACTGATTGCTTCATACCAGCCTCATCGATACCGATGTTCTGTGATATACCCAGATATCGGTATGTTTCAGTCTCGGAAAGGGTCTTTAAGTTGACGGACACAGATAAAGCTATGCCCTCAGAGTTATCCTATCTAGACTGCACACTTATCCTTTCCCAGCTCCATTCTAATAGAAATGCTAAAATCACAAGTGATGTTTGCCAATTCCACAAAATGGGAGGTACTGGAGGCGAACAACTTGAGGTCATCCATATAGAAAAGGTGGGTCACTTTTGTATCTCCTTTCCAAAGCTGAAATCCCCTCCCGGAGACCTTCAGTAAAGTACTGAGAGGTTTCAAAGAGAGGCAGAACCAGATTGGATTCAGACAATCGCCCCGGGAGATACCCGTATTCTTATTTTTATGTGGCTTTCCGTAGCCGTCATCCGCTCGGAGCCGGAGCCGAATCGTACTCCACTACCCCATACACTGCTCGAGAAAGTCTCAAACTGTACAGTCAGTCTTGTGCAGCTCGAGGACCTTCTTAAGCTATGTATGGGGCTCCGACTCGAATGCATTTCTGTGGTCTATCCAGGCAGCGGAGAAGTTCCGACGGTTGCGTCTTGCCAATGACCGCGTCAATGAGAAATGGTTCCTTCGTTCCACGATCACCGTCCCGACATCCATTTAGAGCGCGCGACATCACCTGATTTGAATCCAGGTGACGAGTGATTCTCGCGCTCAAAATGGATGTTATTGTCTTGTATATGGTCGGTAGACACGTGATGGGGCGATATTTTCTAGGGTCTGTGGTACCCTGGTCTTTAGGAACCAAATGAGTGATCCCAGTATTAAAGAGGTTCGGTAGCGCAGCCCGTCGAGTCCCGGACTTTTCCAGTTCGGAGCCCTACGGACCACCTGAGCTACCTCATCCGGCGTTACAATTACGTGGTCCATGTGCATAATACTCGCACACTGACTCGCCACAACTTCCATCCAAGGGCCCTCGCTATGGTTTACGGGCTCTGATTACAGGCCTAATTCGTTGCTGGACCCGTTCCACTTACCATTGGTTGCTCCAATGATTCATAGAGCCTCCTCTATCACTCTGGAAGAGAATCCGGGGAATCTCTGGAAGAGAATTCCCCAAGCAGCGATTCTCTGCTTCAGATCATCTATGTGCTCCTTTCAGTTTTTGCGTTGTATACGGCTGGGACAAACTGACATTTATCCCAGCAAACGCCATCCTGAAGGTGCGCACAATTCTTGGCCTGTTATTGCCTGATCTGAATCATATCAGTTTAATTGATAGAATCAGGCATTACTTTGCGGAAATCCATTATAATAAAGATATTAATAGTTATTTTGCAACCATCCGCTTAATTAAATGAAATGATGTGTCTTACCTAGTTTAAAGAGCACCCACTCCCAGCACCACTCTTCTAGGAAAGATACACCATCGACGATATTACACGTGTTTCGCCTCTACACGAGGCATCTTCAGGTGATATAGACTCTACGACGGCTGACTGCTAAGGTCTTCAAACTAGGTAAGACACATCATTTTATTTAATTGAGCGGATGGTTGTAAAATAACTATTAATGTCTTTAGCATATCAGTCTGCCGATGAGAGCTCTAGCCTTTGCGATACGTTCCTCAATTCTTTTTCTCCTTGCTAGGATAGCGCTACTTTGGCCAGTAGCGCGTCTAGCCGTGGAAACCTTGACGTCTATAATACGGCAGTCCGTCTCGCAAAGATCCCGGCTGGTTTCCAAATAGGTCACCAGCTATGGGTATAAAGCCCTCATGACAGCCCGATTCCGCTTGCTTAGGGCTATGCTGGGAAGTCGCGGTAGATTTTCGAGAGGCGTACTGCGCGTTTCCACAATCGCTTCTTCCAATGTACTACTCATTTGCTCTATTTCCAGTTCCTGGGCGAATGGTCCATCATAATTCGAATCAGCCACCACTGGGGTATTCACGGCGGCATCCACGTATGCGGGTTGTTCCGCAAGTTGTGGCACCGCATCCTCAGCCGTAGCATTTTCATCTGATGAGGGAACAGCCTCACGTCGTAGCCCTTCGAGTTCGGCGCCATCAAATATATTTGAGCGCAAGATATACCGAACTCTGCCAGGTTTTGCTCGGTGATGGTAATAGATAGCTCCAGCTCCGTAAAAAGACCCTCCAAATTCTCCCACTTTCACCCATAAATATGCCAACAATGCGTTTGTATTCATTTTGATGATCCGTCGCATGCGGCGTACTCCACCAGTGGCGAGTGCCCATTGCTGGGCCTGCGAAGACCCTGCCGACACCAAGCAAGCTGGTGGGGATGATGGATGCGAGGGGCTGCTGGGTGGTCGTGCAGCACCTTGCGCTCGGCTGGTGGTTCGAATGCTGTCGCGACAGCGCCAGCTCCAGACGCGCCCTGGTGACCTCCACGCAACAGCCCTTTGCGCGTTCTTCTGTATTCCATCATCCATATTAGCGGGCGTCATTTAACGGGAGTTCTGGTGCTGTTTCATGGTGAGGCTATATGCACAAGCCGGCCTTTGCACCTTAAATGTTTGCCAAGGCACGGCGCTCACACCTTTTGGCAAGGTGCTGACTGACTGCGCTGACGTAGCAGTTTTGTCTCATAACCGTCACGTTGGCGGACGACGGGGTCGTCACTTCCCTACGCCGTAATAATAATTTATTATATATATATATATATATATATATATATATATATATATATATATATATATATATATATATATTCTTAGACTGTGAACACGCGGCATCCATTCTATGTAATAAATAAAATATGTTTCAGTTGAACACACAATGTCGATAATATCAAACATCACGAAGGTCATGAGTGATTTAAATGAATCAATACTAAGCGACAACGTTTATGAAAAATGTTTCTCAATTTGGGCACCATTCATATTTGATTTAACATCTTACAGTTTGTGGAAATCAATTATATTTATGGTAAGCTTGAATTTATTGTAACATTTTGAAAGGAGTTCAGTTAACGAAAAGGTTCAGTGCGTTTTTATGTATGTCCACCGATTTCTTGGAAACGGCTGAACCGATTTAAATGATTGTTCTCTTTTCAACCAAGTAACGTCAAGTATAAAATTCCATCCTTAAGGGTGAACAACAGCGATGAAGTTCTTAACATACCTATTTAAACGACATTAAGGTTAAAATCCCCCTTCGAATAAAATAAGCAAAATTGCGCGAGCGTGCCCTTTCGCAACGCTGCTGTCAATTCACATCCACACTTAATTTCGATCGTCTCGAGTGCAATCGACATGCACAATCGACTCAGATGAAATTCCTTCGTCAGTGTACTTATCTAAATAATATTAACATAACGCGAACAGTCTATATTACATAAAACTAATTTTATGGATTTTATTGCGTTTAATATAAATTTTTTAATCCCCGACGTTTCGGTTACTTCGTCAATCAAACATCTCAGATCCAATGTTGTCGAAATAATGTTGTCGAAAGTCGAAAATTTTAAAAAGTTTAAATTAAACGGAATAAAATCCCTAAAATTAGTTTCAGTTAATACAGTGTGTCCAGTAGGAAAGTTCATTTTTGATTTAAGAAAAAGAATACTAAATTAATGAATACAAAATATTTATTCAATACAATATCAAGAAACTCAGCGGGTTTTATTTTTTAAATATCATTTTCTCCGAATGTTTACCATCTCTTCGTTCACATTTTTCTAATCGGACTCATAAATTTTGAAACACTTTCTTGCAGATTTGCGGTGAGATTTTGTTTATTTCTTGCCGGATATTTTCTTTCAGCATCACTCGTGTTCGTGGTTTGTTTGAATAAACTTTTGAATTTAGATAACCCCACAGAAAATAATCACATGATGTGACGTCGGGCGACCTGGGTGGCCAGCAGATGTCTCCAAACCTCGATATCATTTTTGTGGAAAAATACCTTTATCGTATCCATCGACTCCCTGGAGGTATGGGAAGTGGCTTGGTCCTGTTTCAACCATGTGTTTCTGTTAAAACGGCGTTCGGTTCTTACAATAGGAGCAAAAAAATTGTTGATCATATTCTTATATCGCTCCGATTTGACCGTCAAAGCATGACCGTTACCATTCTCAAAAAATAGAACGCCCCAATAACCCCACTAGAGGTTATGGTGCACCAAACAGTCACCTTTACACTATGTAACTGCATTTTTTTCTTAACTGTGTTTAATTTAACTGTTGATTTAGAGATTCACAAAACAGCCGAATGCCTCCGTAAAGAACAACGCGGATTTGCAAGGACCGAATCACTTTCTCGGCACACATTTTCCTGAGTTGATACAGTAGGTGTGCGGCCTGGAATGTGTTGGTTAATGGTAGAAGCCGTTTCATGAAACTTCTTAATCCACTTTTTCAAAAGGTTTACACTTGAGGCATCTCTTATTCGGTGAATATTGTAGTGAGAACGAAATTTCCGAAGCGCAGCAGCGCACGAGTCATGACTCTTAAAGTAAACTTCAACAGCAAAAGCACGTTGTGCTCCAGTCCAACGCTCCATAGCGACTGTTAAAGTTAAACCCGCATGCCTGACGCGTCGATTGAGGTCTTTCCCCATTTCACCGCGCCTACAGTTGCTGTGTAATTCAAATTTGAAAATTGAACTTTCCTACTGGACATCCTGTATTAGGCTCTTTAACTTTATTATTAAATAAAAATATTTCTAGAAATAGTAACAATAACAATAAATAAATTACAGGAATAAATATTAATAAACTTCAAGTTCCACTTCAAGTGCGCATGAAGATTAAATGGACTGTATTTTTTTAATAGAGAAACAAGGTTTTTAAGGAAACAAGAACACGTCAATAATTAAAATCGTAACTAACAATTTTATTCAAAATGATTTTTGAATAAATTGAGTCGAACTCGGGTTGCTCCGGACTAATGAGGTCAATTGTTCATTTTTTAATATATTAATAAATGTATTATCTTCATTCAGATCGCAAATTTGCAGGCGACATTTGCTTGGAACATTACAGATGTAATGATGATGTGTGTAAGCACGTATTTAACTTCATACTTTCAGGATTTCAACGGCATCATCAGTAAACGATACGTAAGTTCCTTCGCATATTAAAATAAAAATATTTTCGAATTTTGAATTACATTCATTATTTCAACCTGATTTGTTGTCATTACAGAAGTCAATGTCGTGGGAAAAATTGCGCGTCTTATATTCACACCTTGTGGCTCTTGTGAAAGAAATAAATTCCAGATTTTGCTACCTTATGCTGTTAGCGTTCTTCACTAATCTGTTCTTTATCTGCCTGCAACTGTTCAATACTTTAAAGTAATTAAATATTGCCTTTATTTACGTAATTAATTAACTTCAAAAAACTAACTTTTAGTTAAGGTCTGGATTTTCTACGTTAAGAGAATTATAGCGCTGCGTGCATATTTGTTCAGCAAGCGATAAGCGTGCGACATTTTTTTGGGTATATTCTATTTCAAAAAGTATTAACTCAAGTAGCAAAACCGATACGATATTTTTGTATAACCTGGTTTTTAAAACTTCTCGTATAACGTGAAAGAGTTTCACAAACATAAATAACTCACGGAAAACCTTCAACATCCGAAACAATTATGTATAAGACAATTACAAAAATAAAAAATAAAACAATTTACTTAACATATATTTAATATAGAAGTTACAAGATTACAATATATCACTTATTATAAAGAACCTTATAGTGAAGCGATGTATTAACGTCCAGGTGTTAGGTAACAATAGGCGCCGCATGGCATTCGGTTTTTATGGATCTATAAAGCGGCGTTGTGTAATCCTAGCAATCGGAAAACGCAAGGGCAAATCCAACGAAATGCTTAATCTAGTAAATACAAACGAAATGCATTTTTTAAATGGAAGAAGGGGCAAATGACGAGTTTTCGGCTCACCTGATAGTAAAAAATATAGGCGCTCATAAACAACTACAATATCAGAGGAATTTTATGTACGATGCCACCTTTAAAAAAAAGAGCAGGCTCTTTTTTTGAAGGTTCCTAAATAGTATCGGTCCGGAAAATTTTCTGGAAATTGCCAATTCCGCAAAGAATTTGTGAAAATAAAATTATAGTTTTTGAAATTATTTTCATTTATTAATTTGATGATGTTTTTTCCAGTTATGGACTTCCTAGGCATACACATCACGGCGATAAAAGCTCGAAAAAGTAAGTGATGATATGGGTAAAGCACAATTCGCGACAGAATGCATGAGAATATTTTTGGTCGTGCATCTTCACCGGTTGAGATGAAAGCATCAAAAGCCGCTGCGTGCCTTCACCGCGTAAAAAACGTCTGCCACTGAGTCATCATCACCACAACCATCCGCTTCATCCACTACTGAACATTTCACCTCAATTACGGGGACAATTGTAATCATCGTGCTCGACTGTTGGATTACCAATATTTGTACCAGACGTAACGCACCTTTGACGCTGCTTTGTGTCGGTCAGCATAGATGTTTTATTTTTGACATACTAAACAAAATAGTTTACTATTAACACATTTGACAACACGTTCTGGCATACATATAGTCACCTCTTATCTCTCACTTGAAATGTAAGGGGGTAATTAACTTTCTAACGCCGCCAACTCACCACATAAGTTAGAAATGTAATTCAATTGTAAAATATTTCATTCTGGTTTTTTATACTTCTATAGCGTGATTTAAACTTCGGTTGTATGCTTTAACGGTGTCAGCACCTCAAAAATTTGGAATGCCTCTTTTCCATTAAAAAGGGTTTCCGGTTATCTACACTGACTATGAGAAACACAGCAACGTTTAGCTGCTATTTTAGGCTGCTATTCTGTGAGAGCGTGATCTTTCACCGGTCCAGCCTACTCATTCGTGCTACAACTATACAGCTAATATAGCTGCAGTGAACTTCAATTTAACTGTAAGTGGCTACTGCTGCCAATTAACAACTAATTTTAAGCAAGCACTTTTCATTTCTGAGGTTCAAAATGTAAACATTTAGCCTCCAACTATACTGACCTTCTGGCAAAACAATTACAACTGTTTGGAAACAGAAATAGTTAAGAGGATGGTATCCGCCCGAACGGCAAAGGTGTCCTACAACCTAGTAAACTTTATTTTGTCCACAGTTCTATTCACAATACTGTACATCTATTATACTATATGTACTCCTTCGTGTTTCTAATCACTAGAGCGACTGTGATGT